GGGAAGGAGGCTGGTTGGGGGGCTGGGGTTAGAGCAGGGGGGCTGTAGGGGGAGGGGACTGTATGGGGGGAGGGGAAGGGGGCTGCTTGGGGGAGGAGGGTTGGAGCAGGGGGGCTGTATGGAGGGGAGGGGAAGGAGGCTGGTTGGGGACGGAGGGATCTCCTGCCTGTATTTAGACCCATCTCCTCCATCCCTAATACGGGGTTATTAAGTGCACTTGGTGGACCGAATCCTGCTTTTCTCCCTGCACCTGAGCTGCTCCTGGGGCCTGGGGCGCTGTGAGGGAGGCTGCGAGCCTTGCGCGCTGCTGGGCCCACCCCAGGGGCGGCTATCAGAACGATGGACCAGACCCGGCTGTGCGGAGCCCTCGGCGTGTGACCGTTCGATATCTCTTGTAAGTTTGTTATTAATTGCCAGGTAAATCTACAACTCTTCAGGTGCACGGAGCGCTGGAGACTGCAGAGATGTGGGTTTCCTTTCTGGGACGGGCTCCCTCGCAGAGACCACCTAAAAAGCTGCTTCTGCAGCGTTCGGCGCTTTTCCGTGGACCTGACAAAAGCAGATTTTAGCCACCATCTAAGCCATTCGGACACCCGAGGAGATGGCTCTCAGACTGATCCCCAGCAGAGCGACGGAGAGCCCTGCGCTGCGGGGGGCTCAGAGCCTTTGAAAGACACACAGCCCCCCTTTTCCAAGCACCCAACGCTGCTTCCCCCCACTAACTGCTGTATGAGTGGCTGCCACAACTGCGTTTGGATTGCATATGTACAGGAGCTGCAGAAACACTACCAGGATGGGGGAGAACAGGCCTTAGCAGCTGTGGAAAAGCACATAGAAGATGAGAACATTAAAATGATTTTAAAGATGGAAATCAGATTCCGCATGAAGAAAGACTGATGCTCACAGCCTACACTACATGGCTCCTCTTCTCCCATGGCACTACAAACTCCAGAGAGCGAGCGAGCCCAGATTTATTTATTGTCCCTTTTCCAAAAAGGCTCCTCATTTAACAGAGTTTGTCCATCTCCTTTTAAGCTTGGTTCTTGGGCTCGAGAACCCAGTTTGACTACCAGTTGGTAAAGGATTGCCATTATTTATTGGTATGAGTTACAGTACTTGGCGGAAATTCGGTGAGAATAAATTCATACCTGTGTGCTTGAAAATGTGAACCTCTTCTAGGCCTGTCTCTCTGTTCTGGGCTTGTGCAACGCCTACCGTGACGGGGCCCTGGCCCGTGACGTGGGCTCCTAGCTGCTGCTACTTCACGTTTTGTCTCCCGCTTACTCCAGTGGAGTCGCTCCTGACGCACACTGGTTTAAGAGTGTTTGTTTAACATCTAGACTGGCTGCCCCCACTTCCGGCTGACCCCAGAGCCCCGCCCCCTCCCCAAAGGGGACTAAGAATTCAGCACCCAAATCCCACCTTCTCTGGGCATTTAAGTCCCTTAGCCCTCTTTAAAACCCTGCTGTAGACTAGATAAATAGTCCTCTCTCTCCCCTGATGCACGGCCAGCTGGG